TCTCAAGTGGTTGGGTGGATGTGCCTGTGGTGAGTGCTGCCTGCTGTGAAGGTTGGTGTTGGAAGTCTTCTGCTGGTGGCAGTAACTGGTCGTCTGCCCTGAATTTCGCTTGCAGCAGTTTGCTGTGCTCCAGGGACAAAGGTGACCTCTGTCCAAAGGCAGAGTGAACTTCTGCAGAGTGAGTTTGGGGCAAATGGCTGGTGCTACCTGTGCCGTGTTGCCTGAGGAGTTATGCCTTGTGTCTCCTGGTGAGGAAATTGGGAGTACGCAGCTTGTCAGGTGAAGGGCTGTCGAAGTGAAATTAAACTGAGACTTCCATTAGCTGGGCTGGAAGACAATGACTTCTGTCAGAGACTTTGCTGGGAATCCTACACGAACTAGAGTTAATGGCCTAGGCTAGTGATTTCTGCGTTGCGTGTGGCTTGTTTGTGTTGGAAATGTCTGAAAAGCTACAGGTGGTCACTGATGCCTCTGTGTGCAGAAGCTCTGATCTAATCAGCTGATAGCCTAGGACTGCTTAGGGTACTTTGGTTTGCCTTGACTTAACTCTTAGAAGGTAGGGGCAATGTCTCTGCATTAGGTATTTGCACAAGGCTGTACAGTTTGAGTAGTCAGGTTTGTGTTCTGTGGGATACAAAACTGAACTGTCTTAAGTTTTGTGATAAAGATGGAGTCCAAAGTAACACTGGAGTGCTGTAATATCGTTCAGAGACTGCATGACCAAGTTGATGTGCTCTGCAACCAGGTTTGTTGTCTTTATTTCCAGCTTTGATTAATCTTTGTGCCTAGTCCTGTGGGAGTGGGCAGGGGAGATGAGGATAATATGTGCACCTTCACAGTCAGGTCTAGGCATAAAGTATAGTTTGAATCTGACAGGAGTTCGGCTTATTCTGTGTTAACTCTTCCAAAACTTAATTGTAGTGAATTGAGCTAGGCTGACAAATGCTGGGTTACTGCCACTGTGGAAACTTAACAGCTGCAGGAGGCAAGAGGGGAACTTAAGTGTCTCCCACCTCTGCTGACCAGTATTTTGTAGTAACCAAGAACTTCCAGTCACCAGCCATGAGACTGAAGATGTCTTCTCCTGGCAGCTAGGGGACTGACAGAAGTATCAAGAAGCTTTATGAGATGACTGAAGAAGATTCAGATACCCAGTCCTGTCAGTTGGGAACTCTGTACTTGGTTGCAAAACTATGATGATGACAGCAAAAGCTTTGTAGATTTCTGTTTCCTTGTACTGTTTCACTCTTTTTTAAAATTTTTTTTAACTGATTTAGCTGATTAATCTTTTAAAATTAGACATTGCTTAGATCTTGTTCTGCCGGTTGACTGGCTAGAAAATTTGTATGCTCACTGAAGATTAGGGATTAAAGAAGCAATAGTTATTTTTTTCTTCCAGCGCTGGTCATGTTCTGGAATTAACTGCAACCATGACAAGTGCTCTGTATTCCCAGAGTTTTAAGTAGTATGGGTCAGCTGTTCTGTAATGCTTTTGTTTGTTTTATTTTTAATGGATTAACTTGCATTTCTCATGGGAGAAGTAAACAAAGATCTTTAAAAATCCCAGAACTAATTCGGAATAAAGAAAAAAAGTAGCAGGTTTGCAGGTCTGTTTTGTTTTTTTTCTTCTCATGTTATCTTTAATTCTTGAACTTTACCAAAGAGAATCATCCCCTGACTGATGTTTTCTTTGCTTAAGATCATGCAGGTGCAGGAGTTTGTAAGGGACTTAGATGTGAAGCTTGTTGTCTTTCAGTCCTTGAATAGATTTGGACTTATACAACTAGTTCCTGCTTGGGTGGCTGGTTGCTTTTAGTGTTCCTTTATTGGTGCCAAGTTACATAATGTGTAACTGGAATGTGCAAGAACAAGACTGAAGGCAGATTCCATGACCGGTGTTTTGTCTTTTTTCTGGTTTGTCGTCTGTCTTGGAGGATGGACCCAAAGGTAAGTAAGGTATCTGGTGTGTGTGATGCACATTTAGGTAACGATGGGCTCTTTTAGTGGATTAGATGCAGCATCTGTCTGTAGAATGAGAACTCCTTTTAGTCTGTCGCTGGCTCTGGACTGATTATTCCATTTCACTGCTTGTTTCCCTGTCCCTTCCCATGTGCTCCCTTAGCTGGCTTGTATTTTCACATTGGCCTATTGGTATAAAAAAAGATTTCTACATTTGTAGATAAGAATACCACATGGGTGAGAACTATTTTTCTTTGCTGTGTCGAGTCCATTCATCTCTGATGCTAATATACTGAGCTTAAACTCTGTGCTTTCCCTGCCCCATATGATTCCCAGCAGATGTTCTTGTGTTCCTTGTAGCCTTTTGTGCTTTTTCATCTCTGCATGTTTCTAGTCTCTGGAGTTTCATACTATATAGGTACGTTCCCTCATCTTAGTGTTTTTCTTCTCATATAAATTTCTACAGTAAACTACTTCTACCATGTAGACTTACTGATATGCCAATGTATCTGGTCTCTGAATCCTAATTACAAACATGGTTTAGCTCGCAGGACTTCTTTGAGGCAAGTTGTACCAAACACTCATGTCTGTGTGGGTGAGACTTTCCACATGATAGTCAATTTTCATGTGGGCTTGAGCAAACAGGTACTCGATGGGTGGAATGAACTTGCTGATGCTCTGGCAAAAAGCCTTCAGGTTGCTTGTAGCTGGAAAAATGTTTTTGTGCGTTGTCAGTGTAAAACTAGATTAAGCGTAAGTCTTGTGGGCTGCTGCTTTCATCTTCATTGCTTCTTCACTGATTTATATTATTCCTGTGCTACCTACTCCTGGTATTCATTAACTTGTTGAGCTGTTACTGTATTAAGGTATGCCTGGCTTATTCACTACCAACTTAACAGGACTTTGGAAAGTTTTTAGGAATGCTCTGTAGCAGTGGTTGCTGACTTTATAATGGGGTGACAACAGCTAAGGTAGACTTTTTTTTCCAAAATCTATGGAATTACACAAAGACCTGTTTACTTGAAGAATGTGGGGATAGACTAATGATATGAATTTGAGGCTGGATTAGTCTTGCATTTCCCATGTATCTTTGAGAGTGAGGGAGGAATAAAGGGAGCTGATAACTCATAAAATACTTAGGACTTGACTGTGAAGTAGAAATAATTGCTTGACACCTATTTATTATTAGAAATGTGCTCACTACCTTTTGAAGAAATTCTATTAAAGCATTATTAAAGAATAGTGTCTTTTGGTGTTTTAGTGTGTAGCGACATTAGACAAAATCTCACATCTTGATCAGATGCTTGAGAGTATACAAGCATATTAAAAAAAAAAAAGGTTTCTTGATCTCGACATAGGCGGTTGAAAGAGGTTTGACTTTGCCAGTGAATCTGAGCTGCAGGATTGCCCAAGTCCAAACAACCTGCAGAAATCTGAGAATGGAAGTATGTTCCTACATACTAAAAGGCTTTTTAAAACATGTTAGAGTTTAAAAGGGAAGTCTTGTTTGCATAGCTGAAAAAGGCTTTACCTAAAATTGGGTGATGTGCGTTGCACAGCAGTATGGATAATTACTAAGGGTGGTATTTCCTTCCGTCTTAGGGACTTATTACTAACTGAAGGGAAGATGGAAAAACAGTTAATATGGTAACATCAAGTTTCTTGAATAATAGTTTGTTTTAAGGCAAAGGCATTCTTGATGCAGTGCAGCCATAATGAGTGGTGCTGCTGACACCTCTTTGTTGGCAGCAGGATCATGTATGACTTCTGTCATTAGAATACCCCAATGCAGAAAGCTGTACTTTAATCAACCCATCTGCACAAATGTTTTGAGGGAAAGCAGATTCTGGGACATGTAGCTTAAGTAAGGTGGGCTCATCCCAAATCTTTAGAAATAACTCAAAAGAAGTAGTGTCTATGTTCAGATAGGATACAGATGTGATCCCATACATAGCCATGTTTAACTCTGTTTCTTGACATTTCTTATCTACCCCCATACATGTTCTACCACTTTAATGGCATGAGACATCACTCTGTAGTTGTAATGACAATAATGAAATACTTTGTCAGTAAATCTTCTTTTAATACTTAAGTTTGCTCAAGTCTATGAAGCTGTTCTTTGAACTAGCCAGGATTCATCATAAATTGGACAGCTTATTCCCAGTCCTTGATGAGGTATACTATTAGGACTTTCTGAATAGAAAGTGCAAAACAAATCTGAAATGTAATGAACAATTTAAAATGAAGGAAAGAGATGGGTATTACACAAATTGCATTACAATTGCTAGTATAGGGTGCTGAAGGTGTTGCAGGGGCTTCACAAAAAGTATGCTGTTTACCCAAAGTTACTTGCACTGTAACTTAGACATAGTTCAAGTACAAATATCTGTAAGGTATGCAAGCAAGGTGGCAGACATAAAAGGGATTTACAGAATTACCATGTAACCTTCCTTCACTTTGATTACTTCACTCTTTGACTTCTCCTACAGACATAAAGAAAAAAGCCAGAGTTTTAGGTTCCTCTGATTCTCAAGAAAGCATTTGCGGAATGTGTCAAACATATAGCCACTTACACACTCTTTGGCTTTTTTCTTTATGTCTGTGGGAGAAGTAAGAGTTTTAGGTTCCTCTGATTCTCAAGAAAGCATTTGCGGAATGTGTCAAACATATAGCCACTTACACAGAGGGGTGGTTTCAAATGTGGCATGAATACAAACGTAAAAAGAAGGGGCCCAGATTTTCATTTCTTGAAGTAAGCTTCTCATTCCCACATCTTTTTGTGCATTCTATCTTACTCTGAACGTCCTTATGCTAAAGGATGCTGTTGCTTTCCTTGTAGAAGTGATGAAGGCTTTTAGAGT